GTCATTGCCGCTCCCGGCCCCGCCGTGGGTCAGGTCCTTCGCTTCCTGGAAAAGCACCCTCTGAGGGGGAGCATACTGCTTGGTGGGTGCTAGAAGAGGGAGGGTATATGGAATTGAGCGATGCAGTGGGAAGATGACCGAGTGAAGCTTAGAGGAGGTTAGGCGTGCACCGTGGGTTTTCGCAGAAGAGGACATGGAGGAAAGTCGCGGAGCCGTCGGCCGCGTATTGGAAAAAGGCCGGAGCTCATACATGTAGCCCTGACTTATTATTTTTTGTCGGTCTTTGCCTCTTTGGGGTGCCTTCATCCTATTCCAGGACCTGAGGCCAGCTCTGACACCCGGTCGTGGGACTACAAGAGGTTGCGGCAGCACTGCCCTTTCTTCGGTTTGATTTACGCCATGGAGGGCGAAGAGGAAGAGTACGTGGGAGTAGGGCCAGGAGACAGGGAGGGCGCGAGAGGTAGGGGTCGGCAAGGTTGGCTGTAAAAGTCGAATAGGAAGGAGACTGCATGGGGTTGAGGAATACCCGCACGGCTGAGAGGAATGCTGTAAAAAAGAGGTAGCAATGGCACGACTCTTTCCTAGCCGTGATATCTGCGGGGGACTTGGCATGATTACCCATTTTCCGCTCATCGTGGCTTTGTCATCTCTTTCATCGCCGCCCCTCCCTCTGATCTCATTCTAGGTGGAGGCCATCAGCGACTGCTGAGGAGGTTCGAGAGGGCCTTGGTCTCGCTCCTTACCCGTTCGGCATTCGCGCTACTCCCCCAGGCCAGGAAATCAGGTAGTTATGTAGAAATGGAAGGTTATCAAATGGCGGGCTGACGACTTTCCCCCACCACCTTTGTGTCTCTTTGTGATTGCACGTCTACCCTCATGTCTGGTCTCTTGGGATGTCCTCCGCCCTGACTCCTATTATTTAAATGTGACAGAGCGATTCAGGCCCTCATCCGTGATTGGCAGTTCTTAGAGTCGCTGGGTATGGGTCCGATCCAGCTCGTCGGCGAGGACAAGGATGAGGAAAGGGAGAGGACAGGGCGAGATATCCCACCGATGGAGGAGGGGAACGCGTGATGGAGATTGACAAAGGACGTGAAGGGATTAGAGAAATTATGTGTATAGACAAATATAAATAAAAGTGTTCAAGCTTGAGACGATGAAATTGCGGACGACGCAAATCACATTTTGTGGTCCTTGTTGATTTTAATAGATGCCGCTAACCCTCACGATTTGTCCCTCATTTCGCCCACTTCATCCCGTCATTCTCTTGGACCACATGTCGTCCATTCAATTCTCAGCTCACTGCATTCTGCACTGGCGCATTTGCGCTGTATTCTCGTGGGCCGAGCAAGAACCAAATGAGGAGGCCACCCACAGGAAAGAAGAATATGAGGAGAGTCCAAAGTACAATCACTAAGGTGGAGCGCCCGCTCCGACAAACTTTAGAGACAGCAATGATATCGGCAATAATGAGGAGAATAAGGACAAGCAGTGACCAGAGAGAATTGTCAGCCATTTTATTTGCTTTCGTAGAACGCGTAACCTCCTCGTACTATGTGATGCCTGTCGGTAGGATAAGCTGTCGAAGTTAAAATTACAAGCAAATGTTTGCAGAAAAATAAGGAACGATTCTCAGATTATTACAGCAGGCTAGTACAGGACATAGCACGTGCCTATTTGTAAAAATATGGTGCGTTCCTCCCGTGCGCGCTACAGGAAAACGCTCTTGATTCCCGTTACTTTTTCGGGAGATCGTTCGCAACCTAAATGGGCCGTATGGCCGCGAATGCACTGGCGTGCACGAAGCTATCTTTGGAAGCCCTGCATCAGTCCTGGCCTCTTATCTGCTACTTTTTACGGCTTTTTGTTGTGCTGTGAGCGGAAGTAGTAAGAGAAGGTATCTTTTTCGAGACCCCTGATGTCAAGCTGGATCCGACGGTCCCTTGTGCTGAGTTTTCACGTAAAACGTTTCTCTTTGAACCAATGAGGCCTCGGAAGGATATATGCGACTTAACCTTTGAAGGAAAATTGTTTGAAGGTTATTCGCAGTGATAGACGGCACGTAACAAGGGCTATCGCATCCTCTGCAAGTTATATGAAGAGGCTGTCTGCAACTATCAAGTTCATGAGTTAGGATGTTGCAACCGGGACTTTTTGGTGGAAGTGGGTATTGCTATCATTTGCTTCTTGAAAAACCAAGGAAGCAGCTTTGAAAGCACAAAGCAGGGATACCTGTATATCTGTGATGATTCTGGCAGGTCTTAGGCACGAAAGGATAGGGGTAGGCGTCGCGCTCTAGGGAAAAAAATTAATTATTTCTAAGTAGACGATTTTGCAGTCCGCATCAAAACATGTGCCTACGAGAAAGAGGTTTCAAAGAATGCACTTAACATCTTCATCATTCAAAAATCATTCGTAAAGTATGAAAATTCTTGATTGCCGCGCTCTAATTTAGGGTTAGGGTTAACAGATCTTGTAATCCAATTATCACGTAGCACTAAATATTCTTTAATGGATTTTTAACATAGCAATGCAATCCTAGGGAAAGAGTGTATGGGAGGAAAAGACGAAACGCTGCATTGTTCCCAATCCCATTTCAGGTTCTGGTTACAGAAAGGCCATATTTTTTGGTTGTCATTCCTCTAACAAATGGAAGAGCTATGTTCATCATATCCCTCACGAGAAAATTGGATTGTTTGACTTTTACGCTGTGACATCGCTGCGATTCCCCCTCCGGGAAACAAAATCTAAGTGGAAGAGAGCTAAAGCAGGATCATCGAAATGGCGGCGTTTTCAAAACATAGGTGTTGCCAGAGTTTTACCTATCTGGTATTTCTCTGTGCCTTTCTTCTCCCTGTGGGTACCGTCAACCTATAAGGACCTATACGTATATCTACGGGATGGCATGAGAGGTTGGGATTCCTGCCATAAGGTCTGTGGGACCTGGGTCTGTTTGCTACACGCGTGCACTGGGAAGGAACCATGCAGGGAGAGATATTCTGCACAGTTCTCGTCCTTTTGTCTCTGAACTCATAATGTGAGTTTACCCGGGGGTGTTGCATCACCAAGATCGTTACCCTCACCCTCGTAGAGCTCGCTGCTAACTTGCTCTGAGGGGCGACCCGACGGTTTTTACAGTGGTAGCAGGCGGTATGAAAGTGCGGTCCCGTGCATATTTGCTACACGCGCGCACTGGGCAAAGAAACACGCACGAAGGGATATTCTTCACTTGCACGCAATCGCACTTTTATACCGCTGCTACTACTGTAAAAATCATTGGGTCGCCCCTCAGAGCAAGTTAGCAGCAAGCTCTACGAGGGTGAGGGGAACGACCTCGGGGAAGTGGGGTAGCACTCTCGGGTAAACTCACATTATGAGTTCAGAGACAAAAGGACAAGAACTGTGCAGAACATCTCTCCGTGCGTGTTGCTTTCTCCGGTGCGCGCGTGTAGCAAACAGATCCAGGTCACACAGACCTTTTGGCAGGAGTCCCACCCTCTCATGCCACCCGTCCCGTAGCTATAAGTATAGGTCCTTTTAGGTTGACGGTACCCACCCGGAGTTGAAAGGTACACAGAAATACCAGATAGGTAACACCATGACAACACCTGCTTCTCCAAGGAGAATCTATATTCCCCTGAGTGCATTCCGCCGGGTGGTACATCGGCTCGGCTCATTCTGGCACGTACCCAGAATGCGCTATTCTGTCCACACATCGAGAAACATCCACCACTCACTTAAAGTGCGATACGACATTTTTAACACCCGGAAGACCACTTCGCTGAGGCAGTGAAGCCCTCGTCCTCATACCCATGGCCCAACTACTTGACGGAAATCATTCGCAATACTGCCGTGTGTTGTATCATGATAACTGAATGCATTTTTTTAAACCTGTGTAGCTTCTCGGTTGGAAAGTCGGATACGTCCGACGTCCTCCAGGTCAACCCCTCTGCATTAGCGTCTCCAAGCAGGTCTAGCCCTTTAACAAAGTCATTCATGGATGATAAGAGGTCTCATAATTTTTTTAGAAGGCATCCTTATTACATGTCAGCGTATGTGGTTTGCTTTTCTCTTTCTGGATGGAGAGCGGGATCTGCTCGATGTACGCACACATGTAGCACAGGCGTGGTCCCAGCACGATGCATGTTTCTATAGCTAGAAGGGGAAAGAAAATCATAGGGATTACCTGGACTGGAGTTCTGATAAAGTCTCATACAGATCTCTTTCACTTTACTTTTTGCAAATTATGCTGCAGAAAATATCAAGGGGTGGCCGGCAGTGTCAGGATACTTTTGTTAAGGCCTTATTCGCCCTCATCGGGAAGAGCTAATCGCGTTTGATAGCACGAAAGGGGCAAGCTTTTTCAGCTTTATCTCTTCCATACGTCAAGATAGCCGCACCTGTTGACAAAATGGATGAGGCACCTTTGCCTACAAGGACACCAGCCACCTCAACATCACAGCCGACGTCCGGGGAACTCGTCCCTAGCTCTTCTTCGGGCCCCGCCCCCCGACGACCTTTGAAGGTGATTCTTCCCTCCAACTCCAAGAATGCATTTCCTGGCTTAAATCAACATCGTAGAGTGTAAACGCAGTGTTTGCTGTCGACATCGGATACACAAACGGTGAAGATTAATTTGTAGAAGTGAACGTGCCTCGAAGTCAATCCTCTCCACCCGCGGGGGTATCATCAATGAAGCATGCTTACAGCCTTCCCAAACCAATTAAGAATCGAAGTGACTTAGTATACACATATATCTTATACCTTCGCACTCCCACTTTAACATTCTTTGCCCTCAGCGCTTTGTCAGCAAGGTCAAACGCATTCCTGACGATATCCTTGAAGACCCCGCCTTGGCTCAAGCCATCGCACAGCTGCCGTCCAACTACAATTTTGAGGTGCACAAGACGATATGGCGGCTCCGAGAAGCGGGAGCCACATGCGTGGCGCTCCAGTTTCCCGAGGGACTCTTGATGTACGCCTGCACGCTGGCCGACATCATGGAGCGCTACGTCCCTTCGGTGGAGGAGGTGGTGGTGATGGGTGACGTCACCTACGGCGCGTGCTGTATCGATGACCTGGGGGCGAAGGCGGCAGGAGCGGATTTCTTGGTTCACTACGGACACAGCTGTCTGGTGCCGGTCACCTGCACCGCGCTCAAGGCGCTCTATGTCTTCGTCGAGATCAGCGTCGACGCCGCCCATTTGATCGACAGCCTCCGTCGGAACCTGGAAGCGCCTCGGAGGGTCTGTCTGATGGGAACGATTCAATTCATCTCCGCTGTGCACGAGTCGGCCAAAGCGCTGTCAGATCACTTTGCCTCCGTCTCCGTCCCTCAGGCGCGGCCTCTCTCAGCGGGAGAGGTACTGGGATGCACATCCCCTACGCTGGACGCCGCAAAGTTCGATACATTGATCTTTGTTGCCGACGGGCGCTTCCACTTGGAAGCAGCGATGATTGCGAACCCATCCTTAGAAGCCTACCGGTATGACCCCTACGATAAAACTTTGACCCGAGAAATCTACGACACCCCGAAAATGCTTCGCCTTCGCAAACAAGCCGTGGCCGCTGGGAAGGTGGCCAAACGCTGGGGTGTCATCTTGGGTACATTAGGAAGGCAGGGAAATCCTGCATTGGTAAAACATGCGATGGACCTACTGGAAAGGTCAGGGAGAGAGGCATTTATCTTGCTTTTATCGGAAATTACGCCTCAGAAGTTGGAGCTTTTACATGAAGAGGTAGACGCCTGGGTGCAGGTGGCTTGTCCCCGGCTGTCGATTGATTGGGGGCATTTCTTTCCGAATCCTGTACTGACAGCCTACGAGCTTGAAGTCGCTTTGGGAGGGCAGGCCTGGTCCGAGGCGAGCTACCCGATGGACTATTATGCTAAAGACGGTGGAGCGTGGGGCAATTTTAACCCAGCTAATGCGAAACGGCAAATGTTGTAAAATCATATAGTGACATCGCTTTTGGAATACTTGGATGTACCTTTATCTGTCGGACTTTCTTCCATGGAACCATTTCTTTGTCGGGGTTTGGGCCTTTGCTTGGATAGATGACCGAACACCAGGAAGCGGAGTAAAGTAGTCGCATAAATATGGGCACCACTGGAAAATCTAAAATGAATTATACATTACAATGCAAAAGGGAAAAGAGACGCTGTATGTCCCCCAAAGACTTCTTTAGCTTAAAACGGTGCCCGTATGGCTATTTGGGGAATCATGGCGTGGAGGGATGCGTCTCAAACGTTTTTTTGAATTATGAATGCTTCGACAACAAAAAATTAAATGGCCCGCCAGGCGCTCTAGAAAGTGCCCTGTTGGGCTGGTGATGACTTACTTAATGTGTAAACGACCTCACTTTCTTTAAAATTTCTCCCGGCATGTGCTGCAGTTTAGTGCTCGTCCCTTGCTTGAGTACTATGTGGTTTGTTGTTCGATGCGACGCGTGATTACCTCCTCTTACTTGCCAGTCCTTGACGGAACTTTGCTGATTCCTATCTGTAACACTCAAGAGGTAGAAATAGAAGCACCTGTGTCGAACGACTAGAAACGTCCTTACATTTACGCTAACCATTACGGCAGGACATCATCTTTGGCTCCTGGACGAGAAGGCTGGAGGAGGGCGCAAACAAGATTTAGACGATGCCTACACATCTGCGAGAGTTCGGTCTTCTTGTCTGCATGACAGCCATGTCAACAGTACCTGTACTCTCCACAGGCATGTCCAGCACAGTAAGTAAGCACGACGTGGATCATTTACGAAACTATTGGTAGCTATGCGGTGGTAGAAACAGAACGAGCAAAATTTTCTGTGAGAGTTCCATCAACCAACGCCCAGAATTAAATGTATTCATCCTTATACCTTACTCAAAGAATGCAACTTCTTTGTCAACTATACAATTTAATAGGTCCTTGTTGGAGACTCGATCATGGCAGGCCGTGATGGTGTGTGGGGTATTGGAGCGATTAACAAATACTTGAACCAATTCTCGGGCCAAAAACTTGACAATTACGCTCTCATCGGCTCAAGCCTACACGACGGATGGGTAAAAAGCGTACCGCAGGTTTATGGCGATATGCGAAAGAAAACGGCACCAGCAGTGCCCACTACAATTGTTCTGAATGGCGGAGGAAATGACGTTATCACCGTGCGAGATGATTGCTGGGCATTCAACGACAAATGCCGTAAGCAGATAGATGAAGCCATGGACATTGCTGAAAAGCTTTTGCTTTGCATGCATGATGACGGCGTCGAGCACGTTATCTATCTCGGCTTTTATTACGCTTTTAACATGACCGAAGCAGTAGATTATGGGATGGAGGGAATCAAACGGGTTTGTGAGGGCGCTCCCATAGACTGCCATGTGGCTGATGCTCGCAATCTAAGCATACCTACTGGGTGGGATGGTATACATCCCCTTGACGAAGGTTACAAACGGTTGAGCACCCGCATTTGGGAAGTAAAGGAGGCGAATAATATACCAATCTAGAGCGGTACTCATAAGTCTGTAATAGCAAGAGGATTCCTGACCATTACTCATATAAATATAACAAGGAAACCCGTAAATAACTGCATAAAGAATATTGTATTTAACCGTTGCTGCACTTTTTGGAGAGCACGAACTTCCTATCTCGGGGTCGTAGAGCTCCTAATGAAATTTCCATTCTGTCATACGGCTTTACCATTAATGTCTTAAACGGACTTGCATCGGACTAGATAGCTTGCTTTCATCAGTCGACCGAGACTATACGCTCTCAGCGACGAATAGCTTATAAGTTGCGAGGTATAGGATATCAGTTGGGGTTAGAGCTACTATATGTACGTTGAGGTTATATTTTTCTGACATCTCTTTCTAAAGGCTATTCTCCTCCGGCTGAAAGAAGCCCAGGAAGCGGAGAGACTGCCGAGTTGTTGCCTTCTGAACAGGCGCACATGTCTTGATTTGAATCTTTGAACTCGAGACGTACGCGCGCGATATGGGCCCGGTCTAACCTAAGCTATTGGTACTTTGCTATGCTCTTCCTTGTGTACGATACAAAACAGAATCTTGAAAGCTCTTTCCCATGAGTGAGGGTTGTGTTCTCAAAATTTTGCATCTTTAGCTGAGACACATCCAACACGTACAATCGCAACCACAGGCGCATCGTCAAATAAGATGACTAAGACCCCTGACAGCTGCAATACCGGCCGCGCGCAAGCCGTACGGACGTTACGACAATGCTCACAAGACATTGCACAGTATAGTGATCCACAGTGTGATGAAGATTATGTGAAATTGATCGGAATCTTGGAGAAAAAGGCTCGCGCTTTAGATGCCCTAAATCAATACAGTCAGATGAGTGCTTGCTTGGAGAAGATCGTCAAGTTGGCCCGAAGCAGTCTTCCCTCGCACAATCTCTCGCTGCCTAATGCCTTAGAAGGCCTGGCAGAATGTCGGGCTATAATGGGGGACAGAGTGGCAGCCGTTTCTTTGTTTAAGGAATGCCTCGAGGTGCGAGAACTTGCAGGGATGCTCGAAACCCATCCATCTCAGACGGCCTGCTTGAAGCGTATGGGCGATCTGCACCGTGACCAGGACTCATTGGACAAAGCTTTGGAAATTTACTTAGAAGTGTTGTCTTTGCGTCGATCGATTGCAAAGCCTGATGCCGGCAAGAAGGAGGTGGCGAAATTGGCGGAAGCACTTCACGATGTTGGGACCACCTACCACCTTTGTGGGGAGTTTGAACGTGCGATTCCTTTTTTGAAGGATGCCTTGGAATTGAAAGAGAAAATTGCGAGCACAAGGAGCGGGAAAGGGGGAAGTCGCGGGGAAGAAGTAAAGGATGCGACGACCGAGGAAAGCGAGAAGGATGATATCGTGGAGGAAGGACAAGAGGAAGAGGAGGTTTTCATGGAAATGATGTACGGCCTTGCTTCCACTTATGCCAAAAATGCAGAGTACACTCTGGCACAGCCGATTTATACCGAGCTGATCGCGCGGAGGCGCAATGAGGACCCTCCAAATTATATCAAACTAGCGCAGGCGCTGACGAACGTGGGAGCCATGCACATGGAGGCAGGAAACTGCGCCTTAGCCTTGCCATTCCAAGAGGAAGCTTTAGACATCCTCAGAATGGTTCTTCCGGAATCCCATCCTCAAATAGCACAGGCTTTGGGCAACCTGGGGGAAGTTTATCGGCGCCTGGAAGATCATGACCGTGCTCTCAAACTGTTTCAGGCATCTCTAGCCATGCAACGGGCACGGGGAGCGGCCTCGGCGATGGGAAAAGACAGCCTTGAGGGCATAAGCCCTATGAGCATGGCTGGTATTCTGAATAATTTGGCACTGCTTTATCGGGCGATGGATAAGTATACGCAAGCCGAACAACAACTGGAAGAGGCTGTTGCTTGGGTGAAAAGAGCAGTCCCATCAGGCCATCCCTACATTACAAGCATGGAAAAGAGTTTGTCAGCTTTGCGTCACGAAGCGAAGGATAAAGCTGCAGGCACGTACGATCCTACGATGTACGCAGAGACCTGGGGATTGCATAGCAAAATAGTAACATGATCGATGTTTTCTTGGACGCAACGCATACAGTCTTTTTTAAAATCAAGATGAAACGAAAAACTGTTTGAAGCCTTTGCAATATCTTCACTTTCGGCTTTACTCGTCGGAAGTATTTCTACTTTCGGGTGCTCAGGCTAGACACGGCTGGCACGCACACGAATTTAATCACGCAAACAGCTCAAGTAACTTCAAGTTTGCATGCGTGAGAGGATATATACATAGAGTCGTCTCTTCGACGAAACTGTAGCGTTGCTCACGAGAATTCGTCCTTTTCATATCCATAGTTCAAGTATTGGACTTATTTATTGTCACTATTATTGATCATACGTATATGATGAAGCCAGCTTTTCAACAGGCTAGCATTGATTGAAATGAGCCTCTCAGAAAGCCTAGCATGTTTCCATCCAGCACACGCCGTATAACATCTCGATTTATATTCTCATCATTCATATGCATACATGCTCTGCCAAGTAGGTGGTCACGTGGACTGGCCTGTGCGCACCGCCACCACGCCAATTCCAGATTTCAAAATTTGACCTCCCCCCTCGGCCCATGTGGCGGCCGGATATCTTGAATGACGGACAGACATAATGCGTCCTTTTGGGCACACTTACGCAATTCAGCAACCCTTTCTTTTCACAGACAGGCCATAAGATTCCAGTACAGCGACTCACTAGTTGACTAGGAATGCGCAAGCTTCTATTTTCAACGACAATCGTCGCGTTTGTGTTAATACTCGTTCGAGGAGGAAACGCCGCAGACCTCACAGGGAACAGTTCCAAGCTTCGGGCTGGGAAAAGCACAGCAGGAGCCGTCTCGACACAAAAGCACGTCGATTATAAATTGTCCGAACAACAACAAGAACAACAAGACAAACAGCAAGAACAACAGCAAGAAGTTCAGTTTGAACGAAAACCGTCCGAGGAAGAAATTAAGGCCCTTATGTCACATCGACAAGCAGCCTTGCCTGGTAATGTCACAACGGTTCTTTTAAAAAAAACCCTATTTCGAAATCTCATCCTCATAGATTTCTCTGACAAATTGGTCTTTCTTTTCATCGTCATAGCGTACCAAACAGCAAAGGAGCAGTTCGATAGGGTGACCCTGCACAGGAAGGCAAGGTTTGACAGGATGCTCGAGGAGGGGGAGAAAGCCGCGTTCGCTTCCGGCGACCAATCGCATGGGTTTATCTATGGCAAAATGGCCGTACTGAAGGAAGAGACACGAAGGGAACAAGCAAATCGACGTCTTCTACATCGTGCCAGAGATTAGAGAGGCGCAAGGGAGGAGAAGTGCGAACCTAAGACGTTGTTAAATGCCTCCATAGAACTTTTCTCTTACTCGCATATAGAGCAAGCTTCCAGACTTAACGTCCGAATTCATTTGCAGATTAGTTTCTCATTCATAAAGTAAATGAGCCGTTACTAGCTACATGTGCTTTGAGTGTCAATGTGTTGTACATGACATAAGTCGTCACCATGGAAGTAGCCTTGGTAGCAATCTCAGGGTACGCATGTATCAAAAATGAAATCAAAGGATTCTTTGTTGTTGCGCCACACTATTCAAGCCTATGTTATCTTGCTCCCGCCCTTTCATCGCTTTCCTCCCGTGATCTTACCATCGAAAACACGGTATTGTGTGGCTTGGCCGGTATGCGAAGCCTTCCAGGAAGAAATCTAGGCTTTCACCCGGCACTTCCTCCCCAGAGCCCTGTCGTACCCCCAAAGATTCTGCGTGGATCCCATCCGTGACCAGGACAGATGCCCAGCCTTCGTCCACTGCGCCCTTCACGTCGTTCCACATCGAGTCTCCGATTGCGCATATCCTCCAATCCGCCTTTCCCCCGGCCGGCTTCAGCCCTACGAGACGTTTTCGGCACTCTTGATACACCAGAGGGTATGGCTTGCCTACATACATGACCTGGCCCCCCTTCTGCTCATAGGCACGCCCGAGAAGCCCGGGCATGGGGTCGTTGTCGCCGCCAGGTCGGACGATGTCGGGATTGGACACAATCATGGGCAGCCCCCGCGCTATGGCTTTGGCGGCCACCGCTTCAAACTCTGCGCTCTCGTGCAGGATTCGACCCGGTCCAAACGTTTGAGGCGGCGTGGCAGGGTCGGGTGAATCCAGTATTGTGAACGGACCGCGGGCCAAGAGAAAGTCGGCCGCCTCCACCGGAGAAACCCGACAGCCCAACGATTCCACGTACTCCCGGTCTTCATCTCCGGACCCGAAGACAAGGACATTTGTGCCTCGGATGTTTGCGTAAGAAGGGGAACGTGGTGGCTTGAGGCCAAGGTAAGTGAGCTCGCCCGACGTGATAACGTCCAAGTACTTTTCAGGCTGAAAACCCATGTCTGTAAGACGCGCGAGCGAGCCGGCTTTGCGTTTCGAGGAGTTAGACAGGAGAATAACATACTTGCCGGCGGCCAAAATTGACTGCATGCACTCCACCGCCCCCGGATAGGCGGCGTGACCGTCGTGCATAACACCCCACTGATCGATGAGAAACACATCATATTGGTCGACTATCTCACGAAGCCCCTGACTGCGGCGGACAATGCTGGTGCCGGCTTTCATAGCTTGAGTTGATGTTGCTTTCATATGGTATCGAGCCGGTGACCCCGGGGCGAGGAAGGCGTTACAAGAGGAGGGAATCAAAGCGAGAAATGTTATACCAGTGGCAAGGGTGCTGAGGGACCTCGTTAAACCGAGAAACCGTCTTATAAAGGGCGGCATCTGTAACAGATAGATATTTATCATAACAGGTCGTTGGTGAAAACCAACAATTTTTATTAATTTGTTGCAAATTTTAGGGGCATGCGGTGTTGTTGTTGGGTTGCTGGGATTCGACGCTTAGACAGCGAATTTATCGATCTTTAGGTACCTCTCAAAAACGTGCCAACAGCTGTCACACGCTGAAAGCGTGCCAACGCAAATTAAGCCGCTTGTAACCCAAAACATCCCGTTTCTGTGCTTAACCCTTGAAGTGTACCGATTTTAGAGTCTTTACAATTGTAAATGCGGACTTGTCTCGAATAAAAAAATGATATCGGCCTCAATCTGTAGGGCTGAGAAAGATCGAAGAGACACCACGTACGTGTTGGGACCTCCGTGACGCCTTTACAGCGAGACCTCAAGGGGAAATGAAGCCAACACGCGGAAGATAATTGATTGCATGAGGTCAGGTGTACGAGCAGACGTGTTTAAAATGTGGTGTTCGAGGGTTGGCGCTTATATTCATGGTTTTGGAACTTCTTGGTGGCTGTTGCTCCCAAGACAACGACGCGCCTTCAGGCACCCGGGGCTTCAGATCTTCTTCCTTGTTTTTTTTCCATCTTCTCCTCACGCGTTGTTTTTTTCGGCGGCGTTTCATCTGGGAAAAATGTGAATGTGTCGAAGTGTATCCTCATCTTGACAGTGCTTCTCCGTACAACACTAACAGCTTATGTTTCAAAGAACATCCCTTAAAAGAGCGTTTTCGGGAGGCCGCAGCCCTACTAACGTAGCGTTTCTTTGCCTGCTGACATCGACGCTACACCATGCGCGTGCGTTTGGCCCGCTCCCTCCCTCCTTCTGGCATCCTTCGTCCATCGATCCAGCAGCCACAGAAATCAAACCTCAGAGCCATCCACCTCCCTTCCGTACGTCGACGGAAAGCAGGCCAGAAGCATCGGTTCCACTGCCCCCTCCTCGCACAGTGAAGGACATTTTAGCCCTCGATTTCGACGGGGTCCTGTGCAACAGTGTCGAGGAGAGTAGTCAAGCCGCCTTCAGGAGCGTCAAGAAAATGTGGCCACAATTGGCTACGTATTGTGCGCCTGTGGGGGGCGCTTCCGCGAACGAATGCCCGGGGTGGCTGAGTGACAGGTGTGTGGATTGGGACGTTAACCTTCACCCTAGGAAGGCCTTGGAGAGCAACACGCACGGGTTTAAAGGGTTAAGTTCTTTCCCAAAATAGAGATTGAGCGCCAATCTCCAGGTTTCAGGCGGTCCAGCATGGCTCTCACCGCGCCCCCCTCGCTTTGTCATCCCTCTCTGCTCCCCCCCCCCACATACACCCTGTCCGCACGCCTTACAGCTTGCGACACCTCCGCCCGCTGGTCGAGACGGGCTACGAGAATGTCCTTCTGGCACGTTTGTGCATGGAGAAGGTAGTGCCTGCCATCCAAAGGGAATTCTTGCCCAGCAGGCGTCCATACCTACCCCCTTCCTCCCTCCCTTTCTCCCTCCCGCCTTTGTGCAGTACCTGCAGGGGCAGGGGTCCACGCCCGACATTCACATCACAGATCTTGCCGGGAAATGGCAAACACACATGCGTTCCGCCTTGCTGCACCGTTACGGGGTGACGGCGCAGGAGTTAGTTGACGTGCGTGGGGGATGGGAGGGAGGCAAGGAGGGTGCAATATCTT